CCGCCCCCCCCCCCCCCCGGTTGCTACGGCCCTGAGAAGTAATAAACAGAAAAACATATACCAATCTACGATTTGTTAAATGTTATCCATGTAAATGCCTTGATTTCGTGAATCAGTTTATACTGACAATACAATTTTATAATATTTTCTCTGTTTAAACAACTAAAATTTTCTTACACTATTATTACAGTGATTTTCCGAATGGCCAACCCGATTTTCCGAATATGTCAATTCTAAAAAAGTTGGGGGTTACCCCCCCCCCCCCCCCCCCCCCCCCCCCCCCTTCTCCATACTCCCCTCGCTACGGCCCTGTTAGCCAGTTGTTGTTCCCAAAAGCAAAACTAGTTAGGTACATGAATAATTGAACGTAAATCTTACATATCGTCCGTGCAGCTGTTCACTTTCTCCAATCTCTTTCCGGCAAGTAAGAAATCTTTGAGATCCCTGTCCGAGACTGATGAATAAGGAGTGTCGCCTAAAATATATAAATTTGGGTAAGCACATACTGTTGAAGAAGTTCCAAAATTTACACAAGTGAAAGTACAGGAAAAAAGAAAACAATAATACATAAAAATACGTAAACCTTTTTATATCGGTTCTTAGTTAAATTTGTTCTTAAAAAATTATTGTGCTAGCAGTCGGCTTCTATTTGGTTGACAAGTATGGCCGGCGAGAAGCCGATAGGAAATACTCTTACCTAATGTGCATATTTCCCACAATACAACACCAAATGCCCATCTAAAAAATAAAAAAATGACGCGTATATGAAAACGTATATAAAAAAATGTAAGTTTGAAAAAAACATTGTGTTAATGTCCTCACGGACTGTGTTTCATATATATATATATATATATATATATATATATATATATATATATATATATATATATATATATATATATATATATATATATATATATATATATATATATATATATATATATATATATATATATATATGAATATATATATAAGAATGATATAGGCAGAAAAAGCTAACTCGGATATATGCCCATGCTTAACTATAGTTTCATTGTTATAGTTATGAATAGGTCAAACATAGTGGTTTGGACAATAATTAATAAACGATACTGGGTGTAGTAGCCTACGGGATTGGCAAGCAAATAATGAAAGTCTGTGATAGAGTCTTTCTTTGTTTAGACAATAGTAGCTTTCGGGTTGACTTAACATAGACATTTTAAATCTGTAATTTTTAGGTCTACTGCATTGAGTATCGTCCATTAACAATAATTTGTACTCGTAAAAAATTACCATGTGTTAAACAAATATCAAGATTTTGTTGGCATCTCACTCGGTTGAATATTAGTCTCATCTCACTTCATCTACAATACCCTTCAACTGTTAAGCAAATAGTGCACGCACATTGGTAACGACTTGTACGTATTATGGCGCTATTTGATATCATTAAGTAAGGATTCCAAAATTTTGTTAGACCATCTGCCTATTGAGGGTCATTAACCTTTGTTTCCTATTATGTATTCAGGAGCGGCCGCGAGTATCAAGCGCGAGTATCAAACTCAACAAAAGAGGAATAAACGGCTAACAGAAACTCCCAGTTGGGCATGCCAGTAAAAATTGTATATTATATTACATATTTTTCTATTATATACTTTCTTATTCTCAAACTCTATCCCAAGATTGGGACGCCATGGATTCCAACAAAATCAAATGCGGATCTTCAGTCTTCGCTTTGGGTAAAAAATCTTACACAGTTTGTACAATCCTTTCCACTAAGCCGTTAGCTTTCGGGATTCAAGCACTTAGCCTAACTGTTGTATTCTCCAACGCCAAATGAGCTCTATATTAAATTGACGAGCATTGTTCCTTTGCCACTCACGATCTCTGCAAGTCCATGTCTGGACAATATCGCTTTCGCAGTCAACAAAGAGGACATGGTCGGACTCTCAAAAGTAAATAAATATGTTGCTATGGAACCTCAAGGAATGGTTGGAACCTCAAGGAATGGTTGCATGATCACTCTGAAAGTGATCATGCATTCCTTAGTGAGCTTTTTCCTGTTCATGCACTTTGATACCATTAGCTATTCATCAAACAACAGATGCAGTAAACAGCATCACGGGCTTTTCTCTTCGAGTTATTGGTGCCCATGCGACCGTGGTGAAGTCTCGCTAACATTTCCTTTTGCATCGAAATATGAAAGTCTTACAACCTTTCGGTTGCCTTTGAAGATAATTACATCGATCGCCCAGAATTTAGCCCAAATATTCCAATATAGTAGAATAACTGCTTGCAATCTGCCTCGTACCCAGGCGCTTACATGAAGTATTCAGGTAGGCATCCGACGCGCGAAGGGGCTGTTGGGAAGGGTGCGTGCTGGGGAGCGCCTGGCAGTTCTTGTATACTGTCATGGCGGGAAAACAGGGAATTTTATACAAAAAGTTACCATATCGTCATATACTCTGTGTGTAAAACCTTACTTTGTGATGAAGAGTTGAATTGAACGCCATTGGCAAATAATAATACATTTGTAGATGTTCGATGACATGCAAAATGCGCGAAAAATTATGAGTAAATAACATGACAAGTTAACCGTGCGAATATTTCGAATATGTCATTCGATATTACATGGAGAATAATAGAATGGTATCAGTTGCTCAGTTAGCATAAAACAGTAACAGAGAAATGATTAGAAAGTCATATAATTGCTTTTGTATTAATAACTTCTTTAGCTGAAAGCTCAATCAGTCGATCACAATGCCAATGGCATTTTCTATTAAATGTATACTGTAAACAAAAGCCCAAGTAAATAAAAGTTCACAGCCGTAAAGTTTGAAATATTTATTACAACAGTGCAATTTTATAGTCTGTACCTTTATATAGTGATAGCTTACAAATCTAGTTCCTGCAAGTCTAGTTCTTCAACGCTTCGGTTGTTGACATGTTAATATTGGAATTTCCATGGACTTTAAGGGCATATATATGTCATATATACCAAGAATAACAGCATGAATTCACGCCCGGATGACAGAAGAATATTAACATTAGTCAATTATATTCAACAAAAACAAGTAGCAAAAAATCGTAAACGACAACGAAATAGCACAACTTGCAAGAAATCGTACAAAGTTGCAAGAAATCGACCAAGAACTGCCAGGCGTCTTGCAGTTCAAGTGCACTCTTCCCATCAGCCCCTTCGCCATCTCTCCCCACTACAATACTTCATGTAAACACGTCATATGGGCATCACTGTTTTTTTACAAAGAGACGCCTGGGTACGAGGCAGGCTTGCAATTGTGTTTTCGATCTGGCCAACCTGACTGAATGATATTCATTAATTCTCTAAGTTCTTCATGACTTGTTAGTGCGTCTCTGATTCAAACTCTGGGGGGGGGGGGGCTGAGCCCCCCACTACTTTAGAAAATCGAGAATTTATTATGTCACAGAGGAGATTCAGTCATCTGGCGATACTAAATACCGAATATACTCATGTCCAAGAACGACAAGAGAAAACGTAACTGTGGTTCATTTACGGACCAGGATCTCTGTTACAATATGAACAAAAATATTTAGTTTTGATTTAAAAAAACTCCAGCAGAATTGGTCAGACTTTTGAATTATATTTCTTTTGGACTATCATAGACTTTTTAAAATAGCCTACGTACTTATTCCTTGCACATAATTATCTAGATTAGATTAGTCTTCATTAGTAGCTTACGCTGGACAGGTGTTTGTTTCCATTTATTATTTTCTTGTCATGTATTAGTGGGCTCGCACTTCCCGGAAAAAAAATTTCTAAGAAAGGTAAGGACGATAAGTATGGAAAATGCAATTTAAATTACTCTTAAATACGGCATTAAATTTCGAAGAAAAAAATCTATTCAAGGAAAATGTACTAAGCGAGTAAATTTTACCCGTATATAATGGCTTGCTTATTAAGAGTCGTTCAAGAATTTTTTAAAAGAAACTAGCAGGTTTTATTGCATTTCCCGGGCTCTGTGAAGTCTCAGATTTCAAAATTTCCCGGACCCCAGTCCCAGAAGGCACACACCTTCGGTGTTCGCCAGTCCCCCCCCCAATCAGAAAATGCCGCCGCTGTCCCTGGTCATCGCATGATGTCACGTTTTTTAGCGATTTTACGGCTTCACGCTCGTCAACAGAGCCCCTGGTAAATTTAGTTCAACAGCACTGCTGCCAAAGTTTGACGCAGATTGATATGGACCTACTCACTTTCCAGATTCAGAACCGGAAATTCGTGTGTCCAAAATACCCCCAGTATGGCGAGCTTTTCACGAGTACTCGGTTATAGGTGAGCCTTATATAGTATACACTGAACCTGCAACCATTGGCAAATGCAGCTTCCAGATTGGCTACTCAACCTTGGACAATTACCCGACGTCCGGCGGAAAGATTTGAGAGAATTTTGTCGAAAATTATTTGCCCGAAGGACCAAAAACACAAAATGTGGTCTGAAAATGTTTAATGGTATAGGCAGCAAAATTTAAATTGTATTTTATATAATTTATAATAAAGCTGCTGTTGCTTGCCCCAAATGTGACACGAAGGCAAACGAAATTGCAGAGCACATCTTGTGTGCCTATTGCAAACAAAACCGTTGAAATTTCAACTGCTTGTAGTTTCTTAATCACATGTTTTCTCGTCTTCTACGTCTCTGTCTAACATGTCATTTTATGTTTATTGCAGTAATATTTTAAGACTCCCCTCCCCCTTAAAAGGTCTGTTTTGTGTGATAGTATTGTTTTTCACAGTTACATTGTCCTGTATTTCATTGATTTTAACGAAATTAATTAGGATTGCCTTGCGTGCATTTTTACCAATATTTAACATGAACTACTGCAACATTTCGGGAAATCATATTGTTTACAGTTTGAAAATATCTTAAATTTTAGACTTTTAAGTCTTGCAATTGTTTCATTCTCTTTTAATTATCAAAAATCGCTTGTATTTTTCCTTGATATCTTGACTGTTTTTTTACCTGTTTTAAAATATTTTCAAATCTTACGAGCCGTGAATTTTTTAAAACATTTTATCGGGTTCTTTGCAAATTAAAGTAAACAAAAAAGCAGTAGGCAAAGCGTGGGAAGGTCGAACGAAAACATTCACACGCTCGTGCGTGGTTTTAAATTTATTGAAATACTTGAAATATGCTTGGAAAGAAGTCATATTAAAACAATTAGACAACTCGGCCTCGTTGTTTATGACGAATAGTCAACTCAGGCTACGCCTTCGTTGATTATTTCTTCCGATAGCCGACATTTTTTTAAAATTCCCAATAAATATTTTTACTTCTAGTATACCAACGAAATTTTCCACAGAAGAGCGACTAAATACAAGCTGCAATACATATGGAAATTTTTCTCCAAATAAATAACAGAATGTTTAGTCGCTTTTATATTAGCATTATAACCCACAAATCGCTGTAGATGACAGCAGACGATTATTCGTTTACTATTGTAATAGTTACAAAGTATTTTGTGAAAATTTCACTCACTTTTCTATTTAAATAATGTTACAGAATATCTAAAATTTGTCAATTTAGCCGGAGTGCAATGCGTCATAGTGTCCTATTTTTCGTTACCGTCAATTTCATTACAGCCATTGTACGTGACCAGCGGTCTGCAAGTAGCAGTACTTTAAGTTGAAAGAACATAAAATAAGACAAAGTCCGAAAAATGCATCGATGTTGAGGTATGATATTTAGATTTTGTTTTTCTTTATATTTCCTCAATTTTCGTTTGGGATTGATTGTGTTGAAAATATGTAAGGGAACTACAGGGCGTGTCAGAAAAGAGTACTAGACAATTTTAAAACGGCTCTCAATTTCACAAATCCGTTCATGTCATGAAATTTTTGATAAATATAGATTTGTTTGAGTACTTGTAATGCAGAATTAACAAAACATTTTTTAAAGATAAATTATTCAGAGCAGGGAGGGTGTGTGTGTTTTTTAGGAACATTAAAAATAGGTTGCGCACGAAATTTAAAAGCTTAAAAACACATTTTAAGTCCAGGGTTGAGAAGTTCGTTATACGTTTTATGAAGAGTCCAAATATCAGAAAATTTGCTAAATTTTATGTCGTTTAAATAGCTGCTGAATCTTTAATATTTTGGCACCAATGCCTTTCGCGCATGCTTAATTCATGCATTTACCTACTTTGCATATTTTTATTGTAAAAACAGTAAAATAACAAGATACAAATTAGGTAATGCATCAATTGAACATGCGTGAAAGGCATTAGTGCCAAAAAATAAAAATTATCAGTAGTTCTTTAAGAAATTAAAGAACTTAAAATTTAGCATATTTTCTGATATTTGGATCATTAATAGAAACATAACGAACTTCTTGCCCATGAACGGAATATGCGTTTTTAAGCTTTTAAATTTCGTGCGCAAGCTATTTTTAATGCTGCTAAAAAAGACCTCCCCCGGTCTGCAAAATTTATTTTCAATAAAATATTTTGTTTATTCTACATTGTTGTACCCAAACAATCTATATTTATCAAAAATGTCATGACTTGAACGGATTTGTAAAATTGAGAGCCGTTTCAAAATTGTCTTTTTTCTGATGCGCCCTGCATAGTTGTTTGCTTTAAAAATGCGAGGGGTTCCAGCACGGATATATTTCCATGTAATTGGTGTACTTACACATCACTGGCAGTAGAATAAGTTCGCTCTTGTATCGCTTCAATAGATAGCCATCTGAAAGGAATTTTCCCGTTAGACCTTTTTATGTACGCTTCCTCGCGTGACAAGCCAAAATCTGATATTTTCAAAACTTTCTCTTCGCCAAGTAGTATGTTCCTTGCTGCCAAATCACGGTGAACAATACCTAGACCTGAAACATGTTTCTAAAACAAGAATATGAAATGACACATTATTACTCGACAGTGATTGCATGGTTGATTGTAAAGTAGTTAGTTGACTCAAAGAATTTTGCCCAGGTTCCAATACAGAATTCATTTATTATTATTTGTACTAAAAGATTAGAAGGATTATGCATTACTATACCATAGTCTTGGACCATTACGGACAACAAGTATGATTGCATTGTTTCGGGAAATTTGTTAAAGTTGAGTATTTTGCGCATTTGAAATTCTGGTTTAATTTAAGACAATTTAAAATTGTAAACAATTTACCATTCCAGTAGCAATTTGACGAGCAAATGATTCCAATTCTTTGGGGTCCAACGCAGCTCGCATTTCTTCGTTTATTCTTGAGGCAATCACGAAATTTAAATCTGAAGTATAGAATTTATCATGGAATTTGATGTGAAGCGCCATTTTGTAGAATACTATATTAATTGCATCCATGCATACGTTCAAAATATTGATTAAATATTTATATAAAGCATCAATTATTTGCAATGCAGACCTACTTAGCAGTAGGTCTTCGATTTCTTTAATTTGTAAGAGAATATATTTTTTTCTTTGTTTGCATACATATTCTTGCTCAAATCCGTAAAAAGTGTTTTCTTTTTATACTATTAAACATATACTTGGATGGATTTTATATAATTAAAAATTGTCATGAATTTGATACAGGAGATGTTATACGTTATGATAATTTTGTAACTATTTTTCTGCAAATTTACCGCGTCATGAGAAGCAAAACTAGATGTAAATATTACTGGTGGCTGAACTTAATATATTTTGTCGCCCACAATGTAAAATGAACAAAATTACCCAGTCGAGTTGCAGATCCTGCAGGATCTTGCCCAAAGAGGAAAAAATGGTTTTTCATAAAACCTAGATTCAAAAATATTTTGAGGAGCTTGGACTAACCAAACCGATCTTCCTCCCCGAATTACTGAAAAGATGTAAGCGTGTTCTCATGCCCTTACAAACATTTCACTTAATCTTTCGCAATTGCATGCTTTTGTAATTACCTTCAGTTTGTTTCATCCCTGTTTCTTCTATCTTGTACCGTTCACTTCCATTTACAGGAATTGAAGATGTTGTATCGTTCGGCATTTCACGTGTCTCAATCAAATTCAGATAGCTCTCCTGAAATATTTTGAATTCGGCATACGTAAATCTAATTTTAGATTATGTACGTAAAAGGAAGTTAAAGAAGCGTGCATTCTAATATTACTAAAATACTACTTGATTATGATTGGTTAAGAGGACTCCAATTTTATCGAAAACAGTGTCAAAAATGAAATGTAGTGCCAAAAATTAAATACAACGCCAAAACTGAAATACAGCGCAAAACATATTACATGCGTGGATTGATTAAATAAACTATTTAATTTGGTGCTCTTATAGGTGCACTTATTTGACCAACATTTTATTGGTAATTAAAAGAACAAAAAATTTGGTTATTTTACCTAATTTTTTGGTTGTTTTGACTAAATATATTGGCCAAAGAAAGTGCATCGGGGACAACAAATTCAAATTGTATATTTTAACCAATCTCTTCATATACAGTATGGCAAGCGCTCAAACGAAATAAATTTTAATTTAAATTATGACTTCTCACAATTAGAAACTTGTAATAAGTTGCAATTTTTGATCCTTTCAAATGAGCGAGTAAATTATTTATTTCGCATGTGTTTAATTCATGCCTATCAATTTTCTTCTGCATTGTTTTGTTATGCATATTATCAATTAGAGTAATAAAACGTTTTTCGAGAAGCTTTAGCCCGCGAGTATCAGCCTTTCTGAGTGGAAAGGAATGCATGACACAAAAGTCGGTTTTGAGGTTTCCGCCTACATTAATTCTTGACATACGCTTCTCTCACAATAGCAACCAATCAGATTTATTTCCTGCGAAATGCATGCATGCACTATATTTAATACTATTAGCCAATGAGCGCAACATCTAAATCTAAATTTGTGTCAGGTCATTTTCTCGAATTCGGGAACTTGGTATATCAGGGCCGTAGCTAGACCAATAATTGGGGGGGGGGGGCTGTATAAAACAGTTGCTTTCAAAAGAAATCTGTCGGGCAGAACACGATTCAGGCTTAAAAATTCCTGAAGTTAACGGTACTTTAATTAAACTAAAACTTAAACCGCAATGTTTTTAAGCTGTAATAAAGTTGAAATCAGTGCAATGGACCATTTGCATTATAAACTAAATTTTAGTCTAGACAAAAATTTCATCACAGCTTGAAAGAGCATCACAAAATTAGTAATATTCCAAAGTTTCGTTGCGAAATGTTGTAAAATGCGGATAATATAACTTTTCGAAATTTGCAGTTTTCAGTCATTTTGTATTACAAACGGGAAATTGATGCCCCAACACCCGATTGGGCTGTCAATTTCCCGTTTGTAATACAAAATGACTGAAAAATGCCAAACTCCGCAAAGGCTATATTATCCGCATTTTACAACATTTCCCAACGAAACTTTGGAATATTACTAATTTTGTGATGCTCTTTCGAGCTGTGATGAACTTTTTGTCTAGACCAAAATTTAGTCTATAATGCAAATGGTAAATATTCTAAATATCATACCTTGCAAGAGTTTGTGACTTCATATGTCCGTGCGCTTGCTATGTCTTTACACTTTAATTAAGGGAAAAAAAATATAAAAATACGTATATGTAAATTTTTTAGTTTTTGTTCTTCAAAAGGCCGATAACCCATTGAAGGAATATTCCTTTCCCAGGAATAATAAATAAAACTAGGGATCCAAGGATAGTGCAATGTTTCTGAAAAGAAATTACGTACGGTAAACTCAATTCTTCAAATGATGCGGTTCGCGAATGCAAATCTTTTGCAAATTAATTTTGTCGTAAATTACCAGTAAGCTTGAAGTAGAAGAAGTTTTGAACTTTTATATGAAATTTTGAACTTATTACAGCCATTTTCGTCCAACCATACCACAAATCGCAAAAATGTCCGAGCGTTTGTTTACGCTTGTGACGTAGCTAACAGTACAGTAGCTGCCAGAAGCTACATTTCTAATGTCTTATAAACTGTTATTAATACAGTATCAAAAAATTTAGTTTTGTCGAAATTCCTGTATACTATTTTGTAGCATCTCAATTTATCTAACTGCATGTGTATATAACGCAGACAAGATTATGCTTACGATAAGATTAGGCCCATGCAAATTTCAGCCACATCACACATTAATTGCCAAAACAGTAAATTTGCCAGTAGGTGTGCCCCCCATATGGGGTAAATTTCTCGCCATATGACGTCAGCATTTTTCCCGCCATAGGACGTCAGCATTTTTTTAGGGATAAGAGTGACGTCATTTTTGGAACATTGTCGCGTAACATTTGTCGCGTGATCTTTTGAGATAGCGTCAGCAAGTATTTGTCGCATAACGTTATTGTAAAAAAAAAATATGATCTTTGTATTAAGCGCTACTGATACCAGTTCGAACCGGATTTAATATACTGTATAAATTGAGGTCTTCGGGTGTACAAGAGTGTAGTGTTTACACAGCTTTCGCAGAGGAAAAAATATTTATTTTAAAATGGAAGGTTTATATGATAGGCATGATCTGTTTGTAGCAATGTCTATTTGATTTTTGGGGGAATTTGAGAGGAAATTTTTCAGGCTTCCAGGCTATTTTGAGCTACCTGATGTATTGGAGCGGAGAACATTGTGCATAAGGGCACTCTTACGTGTAGTTTAAAGTTTTAAATTGTTTTTCAGAACAATATAAATGTCTTAGTTCCTTACTTTGCTATAAAAATGTGTTTATATGTGTCTAGTTTTCAGCCGAGAAAACGTTTGGCATTCCAACCTTTCATTAAAGAGTGGTTTTAATTCGGAAAGCAGGTAGCATAACACCAAAAACGTAGTAAAAAATTATTGAGCTAAAGGACCTATTACTCGTCAATATCATCAACAGTTTATATACACAGCAAGAGATTTGTATCTATGTACGTGATAGACGATTGATGCAATCATTGTGGGACATTACGAATGAGCCTATACGCATGTGAAAAGTGCAAATGATTTTAGAGCGAAATAATGTTGCTACGATACTGTTTTGCTTGCATAAATTTATAGGTGTTCCCCAAGGCATCCATCGGGGTACGTAAGCGTCTTCGCATTTTGCTTATGCGTTTTCGCATTGAGTTCGCATTCTGCTCATGCGTCTTCGCATTTTTCGCATTTTGCTTCGCATTTTTCGCATTTTCTTCGCATTTTGCTTCGCATTATTCGCATTTTGGTTCGCATTCTTCGCATTTTGCTTCGCATTCTTCGCATTAAGGCCCGAAATGGCACTTTTTGGCCCGATTAGGCCCGAAGGCCCAGTAGAAGCTACGGCTAGACTCTAGTGTCCATTTTTCTACAAGGACTTATTGTTGCAATGAAACAAGGCACAATACAGTTTTAATCAATATTTATTTCACATGAACATTACATCGATTCATCACTATCTGAAAAACGTCCTTGACCTTCTAAAAGCTGTTTCAACAGAAACTTTCTTTTGTTAACCGCTGCAGATAAAGCTTCATCAGGATCAAACGAGTCTTCGTTCACTAATGTCTCCTTCGTTTCCATAATCTTTCTATGCACAGGATCATTTTTAAGCACTCATCCATCGTAAATTATCCACGTACACGTCAGCGATTTCTTTCTGAAGTTCAGGGAGAACGTTTTCAAAGGCTTTCTGCTTAGCTGCACTTTCTTCTTGCCCATCCATTTACAACGTTTTCATAACTTCATAATACTCTAGTCGAAAGGTCGCCTTTGCATCGTCAATCATGGTTGCCCAAAGATTCCTTTATTTCACCATTATCTCCGGAATTCTCACTGTTTTCATCTTCCTCAGTTTCCGTAACACTTTCTTCGTCTGGAAAAGAGTCCACGCTTTGTTCATTCGAGTAGCTACTTCCTCCTCCCTCCATCGAAACATATCGTCAATCTTTGCATATGCGCAATGGTCCGCCTTATGTCGCCTGACATTATAATAGGACGAAAACTGTTTCAGACATCGATCACACTGGTAAGAAGCCATAGTTCGCTCTTAAGAAATGAAAAATGAGAGCTCTCAGCGTGGTCACTTATATAGTGGATATATGCTTGGTTTGCTTGTGGGACAATACAGGTGAAATAGTTTGAACGTCATTGAGAGTACGCATGCGCATTTCGTATTAAGTACTTTTATTATGAAGGACTAACAGCTAGCTAGGCTGAGATGTTCCAGTGGCCTTTTTGGCCCGTATGGCCTTTATGCAGCCCGTTTGGCCTTTTTGGGTCATAATTCGTGCATCTGTTCCTCGAGTCGCAAACATGGATCATCTGGCATCTTCTAAATTGTTTACATCGATCCTACGTCGACTTCCCATCAACCTTACATCCATCTCACCTTCACCTCGACTTTTTAGAGAGAAATAAATTAAGTGGCAGCACTCTCGCCCTGGTGCCAGACAGGGTAGGGCGAGTTCGGGGGCATTACCACTTAAAGGGTTAACATGTTGTATGGGCAGGTAGTCTGATTAACCCATTGGGTTCTACCGGGCTATCGGGCCTAATCGGGCCAAAAAGTGCCATTTCGGGCAGCGGCGGCGGAACAGATTTCGTTCTGGGGGGGGGCTAAATTTTTTCGGCGACCTCCTCCACCCTCCGTCGCCAAAAATATTTCGGTCAGTGTACCACTTTTCAAAAAATTCAAATTTTCTGGGGGGGCTAAGCCCCCCACTTTTACTTCTGGGGGGGCTTTAGCCCCCCTAGCCCCCCTGTTCCGCCCCCCCTGATTTCGGGCCTTAATGCGAAGAATGCGAAGCAAAATGCGAAGAATGCGAACCAAAATGCGAATAATGCGAAGCAAAATGCGAAAAATGCGAAGCAAAATGCGAAAAATGCGAAGCAAAATGCGAAAAATGCGAAGACGCATGAGCAAAATGCGAACTCAATGCGAAGACGCTTGAGCAAAATGCGAAGACGCATATGTACCCCGAGGGAAGCCTTGGGGAACAGCTATAAATTTATGCAAGCAAAACAGTATCGTAGCAACATTATTTCGCTCTAAAATCATTTGCACAGTTCACATGCGTATAG